GATGTGGGTTGTTCTAGTTTGAGGGAAATGCAAAGATTACCTCAGGATAGGGAAGAGTGAAGGTGGGTATCCGGCCAGTATTAGGACTGACGACCTTATGATGATGATGAGATATTATAAGGAGAGGGCTTATTGTTAGAATATTTCGTTGGTATCTTGCTTAAAAAACGTCTTATTGAAAACTCTCGGAACATCTAGGACTCTCAGAATATGGAAACAATTATTTTTTCCGTCATTTGGGCATGTACTCATTATTGAGGCCAGCTTACCCGTACTTAATTGCAATATTAGACAGGTACGTACATATATGTTCAATTGGTCTACAGCAATTACCTAATATAATCAATGTATTTCCTCTGTACAAGCAGAAGGGTTTTCATTTCAATCGTACATCTTCACACGTAAGAGAACATTAGGGTTCGTTGAGTTGGGGTGTACTATTGTCATTTTTCAATTTAATATCTACGACTGTAATAATGGTACTTCTGAAGGTCCTATTAATAGGAGAATCAGTCGAACGGAAAACCGCAACAGCAAAAGGGTACGGGTGATTGCTGGAACATACGGTAGAACACATTTTAATTGATATTGATGGAAAAGTAATTGCCATAACCGTCATGACTAAAGGTAGAGGTGTATATAGAAGAACGTAAGTGCACTCCACCATATCATTTCTTATTTTCTGAACCATTATTTATATGTTTACATATACATAAGCATTAGGTATCTACTAGTATGTGCAATATGTCCATCTACTGAGAAACGTTGACTCTATCGTGAGTAACATCCAGCTCTAAGGGTCAAACTTTAGGAAAAAATGTTTACTTTGGGGGATCACCTACGCCCTCGACAGAACTACTAACAATATTGTGACATGGATATATAAAAAGCAACAATTTTATCAACTGAATCTTCTCAGTGATGGTTCTTGGTAGTCTTCCATCTTGCATAACGTTTATATCAAATTCTCTGGACCAGTTCGTGCTAGACGAAGTAGATTTTTGAAAATCTTATTACAGAAAGAGGAGCAGTACACAATTACTAGCTATACAAGTATGTTCGTCCATTAACTGAGCCATGAAATAATATCAAATATATATGTACTTATATACACTTAAATGACTTATGAATAATGAACAGATGTGTATCTAATCGCGCTTAGTAGCCATTGGTTATAATTAAAATTAAATACACAGGTGCTAAAGTAAATTAAAACTACATAGATAAGCAAATTACTAAATGATCCCAATAAACATATGGCGCCACCATGAAGCACCGTCACATTTTAAACCTTAACAAACCGTATCATTAGCAGAAGATTAAGGATGAAGAAGCGTTATGTGGGTTTTTGTCGTTTACCTAAAGCCACTTTCATTAAACCGTTCTTAACACTGCAGCAGACGATCCTTTTTTTTAATTTACGACCATAAAATCGCTTCGTCATCGAACGGCGCGCACATACACAAAACAAAAAGCTCGGGTATCGTACAACAAAAGGCGTGAATTTATTATGCATGGGAGCAGGTTATAACAATCTGAAAATTATCGTAATTTAGATGGGCTTCCTCCTATGATTCGAAAACTTCCATCACAATCAGTAGCGTCGAAGGCAAACAGAACCAGTGTCCCGCGTAGCTCACACCACTCTTAGAACACTTCTCCAATTCGCTCTGACTACAATCAGGGCTATCGTTTTTTGTTTAATCAGATGGCGCCACTGTAGTGTGAGGTCCTAAACTACGGCTGTCAAAGTTCGTATTACGAGCGCCAAAACTTGTATCTTCATTAGATGATTATATTAGATCATATTTAATACCCTAGAACTAAAATGTAAACGTATTGGCCATGCCACAGTGTTGCGCAGTTCCGTTTTGCTCGGAAAAGAAAGGCGGACATAAGTTTCCGAAAGATAAAAGTATCTCAAAGCAGTGGTTAATAGCGATTCGCAGGGTCAACTACGTCCCTTCTAAACATTCACGTGTTTGTAAAAAGCATTTCAACTTTGACGATTATGTATTACCTAAAGAATCAAATACAGAAAATCGTAAGTACCTAATGATTTTTCTTATTCCTAAATATCACCATTTGATGTTCCCGAACCTTGAAACTGAGAAGTTTTTAAGTAAATACCTACTTTGATTTTTTGTTAAAACATTTCAGCTACTCCTAAACTGAAACCAAATGCGGTGCCTAGTCTGAACCCAATTTCACAACAAGCTACATATTCTAAATACAAATCAGCAAACACATTAAAAGTATTGGTAGGAATTTCTGGCTCTGGATGTGTGACCTTCGTTTCAGATGCATATGGTGGATCTATCAGTGACAGAGAGTTGTTCGAAAAGTGTGGCATAATAAATCTTCTTCAAAAAGGGGACATTATCCTAGGTGATCGTGGGTTTAATATTCAAGATCTTGTTTCACATATGGATGTTACAGTAAACATGCCACAGTTTTTGAAAAAGGGGTTTAATCAGTTTGAAGCACACCAACTCAGACAATCAAAGAAATTGTCATCTGAACGTATAAATGTCGAGCGAGTCATAGGTTTAGGAAAAACATTCAAGATTCTTAGTTACAAGTTGTCATCTAATTTAGTACCACTTGGAGGAAGGATCATATTTGTGTGCTTTATGCTGGCTAATTTCAGGAAAAATATTATGTAAATAAAGATTTTGGACAGTTATAGGCACTTAAATAAAAGAAAAAATAAATCAATCATCTAATCTTTTATTTATCCTTTCCGTACATAGACATTCCTATTATCTTCTGAAATAATTAACTAAACATAAATTAATTATGTGTAACTGTCGAAATAATAACTAAAAATTTGGCAAAACATGAAAGGGATGTACTAAGTAACTTAACATCATACTTTACAAACTAAAATTTGTACTGTATTTGCCATAATTAATCTAAAGTATTGTTAATACTCGCAATATTCATTTAATTAGAAATATAAAAGCGCGCGCGTAGCCAACTCGTAAACAAACAGTGACATTTGACGTTTCGAAGACCTCACGCTACACAAGCGCCTCTAGCGGCGATTTCATACGCGATAGCCTGATCGTAATCGTAGTTGTATTATTTTGATGTGGAGATATAGGAGAANACGTACGTACGTACGTACGTACGTACGTACATACACACATCATCAAAAAAATTGGCTAGCATGCTACTAATATGTTAAAACGTGGAAATATAATGAAAATTCCGATTTCACTTTTCGACCCAATTACAATAACTTCCTAATGGGAAGTTAAAAATGAAGACATGCAACGATCCGATATAGATCCCCCAATACGTCAACCCTGCAGTAGGTACTTTTGTTGATGACGGTAATAGGAGAATGACCACAGTTGATGGTTGCAAGTTAATTTTTTTCCGGAAGCATTTTGAATAAAAATCGTTTATTATGCAGTCGCGGACGTGTTCTCACGTCCAGTGATTCGTTTTCTTATGTGATGCGGCAATACGTGTGTTATTACGCCCGATAAATTACAATAACTTCAACGGCATAATGAAGCGAGGCATGAAGATTGGCCAGAAAACCGATTGAATCGCAAATAAGCGGTGTTGCGCTCGACGCCCTCACGTTTTAACTGAAAAAACTGAAATCCATTGGCCGACCATCTCCATCTTCGGAGAGTTAATTCTTTTACGCTACAGGCACCTCATGCTGATTGCATGACCATGATAGGCGATCGATTTTTATGGCGATTAGACCAAACCATAAACTTCCACGATGGGAAGAAGCAAAATGGTTGGCTAATATGAAATTTTGCATTACCACGACTTGGCTGCCTCCAACCTCCAACTGTTTTTAACGGATTCAATTATCTATAATCTGTAGTAAAAGCCACAAAATTTTTTGATAGGAAAGCACATCATCATTTGCCGAACATGCAGAAAAATTTAATTTTCAATTCATTAAACAACTGAAGGGTCTCAACACAGCCTGATATATTAAGTATTTGGCGTGAGCATTGGGGAAACTTAAACGTTAATAACAGGAAATAGCGAATCAAGTTTGCGGATCCTTACGGTATAATATAAAGTCGGTTGGTAGTTTCAGACAAAGCCCTCTTTGATCCTAATTATGTGCACCTTGTGGTCACTTAAGCCCTATAATAATCGCTAAAGTGCAAAATCATCTCCGTAAATACATCTCGCCGTTCTCTAATTAAGCGTCAGCAAATTGCTTGTTTTTGAAAATTACCGAAAAGTGAAAGAAAAAGAAAAATTGGCACAGTCATTTAACACGTCGTCAACGACCGGCGCCTATCGCCCTCGTTCCCTCTTCACATCCTCGACCGCCATCCACCCGCAACATTAGCCGTCCGTCGTCGCTGCTGTGCGTTTTATGGGGGTCTCGTTTTCGGCGGTTGAAACGAAAGAGGGCCCTTCGTTCGTAATAAACAGCAGTTACAAGTTATTATAAGTAGATTAGTGCCGAAAGTGACAGTCACGTAGCCCGTAATGAGGTGGGCGGCGGCCACCGCTTCACCGCCTTCCCCACCGCAATATACCGAGCGATGCAGCCGCTCTTGTTTAATATAATTCATCATTTTTCAAACAAATCATTCAACCATTACGCTACCTATCTACCATATAACATCACCAACATAAAGTTTGCATTAAAAGTAAAAAAGTTGATTCACATGACTTAACACGTCGCTAAAGTGATTGGCGTTATATCAAGTTGCTATTATAGTAAATCCTCATCATGAATACGATGATTATGCAGGCTAACATAACAACGATTCAACCGCTTCAGCATTCTCATAAATATTAACTTTACTTATTCGCACCACACTAAATCATAGCAAAACAGTTCATCTCATTGATGTCATTTTGTACCAGTTGCTCATAAGAGCGATGATGATAATTTTGCTCATGGTAATGGTCGATTCAGTAAGCATAAAGAGACGCTAAAAATGCTTCCAGATTTCAACATATTGGTCGCAGAAACGAAAATGAACAGTATGTCTTTGTTACAGAACGAAATGGAAAAGGCAAACAGCAGTAGGGTTAGAACTCCTGGCAGAAGCTGGTAACTATGCAGCTTTCCAACGACTTTACGGTGCACCTCCATATGGTTGTTGGTACCCTCCCCAGTCGGGACCTGCGGCGGCGGCCCCCAGTGCGGCCGATCTCTACTACCGTCAGGCAGCTGCTGCGGCTGCTGTAACTCTCCAAAAACCCCTTCCTTACAGACTTTATCCTCCGGGAATAGGTCTGGGAATACCAGGACCTTCGTCGCACCTTGGTAACCTCGCGGCAAGTAGTTCGTTAAGTTCGCTAAGCAGTTATTACAGTAATCCGACTCCGGAAGTGCAACAGCCCCGGTCTCCCAGTCCCGGTACTCCTCTAGACCCCGGCTCTCCCGCAACGGCAGGTCGAAGGTCTCCAAGCGACGAAGAAGATACCATCCATGTGTAATTTTAAATCGGGTTAGAGGCAATGGGTCGATCATTCAAAATGAATAAAGGTGACGAATCTGGTTTAACTTACAATATTTTCTAGAGTTTTGAACGATCGACACATGTGTAGAACAAATTCCTGTAAATGTACATAATATACTTTCCATTTGTGATAAACTGTTTGTCTATTGTAAGATATGGATTTTGTTAATTTATTTGCGCTTTATAAGTGTTCTGTAGACAAACGGAGTGTTAGAAATTGAGGACGCATTTTGCTGTGTCCCAGTGAAAACTAAAAAAGTCTTACATTCCATGAGGGTTTTAGTACTTACACAATTTTAGTACCTAAATGATTTTAGATCAGCTATACAAAAGTTTTTGTGATAATAGACACGGTATATAGGTCTTTAGATATTCATCGTTTTTGATAGGATATGCCACATACTCATTGATTAATAACGCGGAGAGCAACACTTTTGTTCGAACAGTAATACGTACAAGAGACCTGTTTCGTTCTTCTGTTCTTTTTTGGTTTTATTTGCATCTAGACGTCGATGAATAATGTTGCTCGTGCGGAACATAAACGATTCTTGAACGGTCGAGTTCTTTTACGCGCCTTATACAAACAAATTACCAACTGTTTACTTTTCTATACGGTGGCGATTGATTCCGAAGACACCGTGGGAATTGATCAAGTCATCTTCTCGGACCAGTTCGTTGTCAAAAAAGAAACGCGATTTGATACACCGGATGCTGAGACTACAGCGACTCATCGCATCGGGTGGAAACGGTAAAAATCGATACCTACACAAAAACACCAATCGATACGATCGATCGCTGCGCTAGCGAGGCTTACTGTAGGTACGTCGTACATCGACGTACAATTTCGTGACGATCTGAGAGAGAAAGACCGAGTAGAAAAATCGTATTCAGTAAACGTGCGTAAGTGGACGAAGATTATTTTTGTGGCTTTTCTCAAATCGATATCGTAATTAAATTGAAAATGTTCAGCTTTTTGCATAAATAATACGAATTATTTACGTTCCGCCGAGCATAAAGCCGCATAAACGCAACTAATTTTATTGTCAAATATGGAAACGAATTAGTAACTACCTTTTCGTAATTATTCGAGAATCAAACCGTCAACAAATTGCTGTTGTAAACTATAATAATAAAAATATTTCTTTCGGTCTTAAAAATGGAGATTTTTGTTTTCTTAAAACCGCAGAACGAAATACATTTAGGTACTTGATGGGAATTCTAAGAGCTGTAAGAATTTTAAAATGTTTCGACAAAAGTGCCAGTCTTCATTCTTATTCTGTAAAACTTTATGACCTCAATCTGGACAATCACATAGTTACTAATAACGATAATTTTTTTCCATTACCTACTAATTGACCACGAAAACTTTTGTTTAGTCACTAATGCTATAATATTATGTAAATAATTTATTGTTTTGTATCCTTTTTATGTAAAATAGATATTATATTTGTCCATAACTAAATGTTAATCAATAGATTGTGAAGAAAAAAGAAGAAAAGTAAACAGGTACGTCTGAATTTTTGTTTCTTTGAATTGATTTGGTTTATTTAACGAAAAAGTTCGATTATATACAAATAAATCTACCTAAAAGATTAAAAAAATATCTGTAAGAAAACTGATTGTCCATAAAAGTGAAGGCAAAATACCGTACGTCAATATCATGTCCTCTTATATTGAACAGTTATTATACATATAAGATAATTAGAATATGATGGTAGGACATAAAAATTGTACATTTAAAAGACTGATTTTATTTAACAATTACCTACAACTTAACCATCCATTCAGTAATCCCCACGATCCACGCAGCAAACGCCATAGATACTCATCCCTAGTTATGAGTTCTTTCCGACAATTTGTGTCTTCATGATGCGGTGGCTGAATGAAACACATTCTTTGCTAGAGAAATCACCTTAACAATTATTCAAAATTCTTAAAAATAATTGCTCTTTAACAGGGAACTCTTAATCTATGAACCCCAAAATTTTTTTAAACATCAAAATGAATTTTAACCGAAATGTTTGAGTAACCTTTCATACATACAGACATACATTTATTCATCAACTTTTAGAAGCAAATGAAAATACAAAACATCCATACTAGGTAAGTGCATTAGTTTATTTATTAATAAGTACCTATATCTTCATCTACAGTCACCAAGGGCAAAATTTGATGTGTATTACTTACCTTTTGGTCGATACTTCGTGATATCGAAATAGAATCATTAAGACTTTGTAGTCCCTTCTTTACAAGTTTTCTGATGTTTGTTTCTGACTCTCTATTTCAAAGACCCACTCTCTTTTAGTTTGTAAAATTGACATTTTATGATTATTTCGCAGATCGCCCTGTAGACATTTGGGGTGCCTTCAAAAGCACACCTCTTTAGGTTACGCTTCCGTTACAACGTGGTCGCTTCGTAACAATGCAAATTAATAAAGGCGTCGAGGGTTAGAATGAGTGCGACCAGCCGTAACCCGTAGTCGCACCTGCCCTAAATATTAATTAGTGCAAACCCAACCCCGGTCTTCCTTGTGTAGCTGTCGACACTTTCTGCAAACTACCGCAGTTACACCTTTCAGCTTTCTTTATTAGTAGGTGTGTAATGTGCAGTGTTATTTTCCTTGATAATAGAATAAAGTTGTAAATGTAAACATAACACTTAAAATAGGCAGAGGAAAACTATCAAATGTCATTGGATAATTCTTTTCTTGTTTTCAGAGATTTTCATTTTTATTATTTGCTCATAATTTGTATGATAACCAAAACGTTTTTTGGTCCGCCTCTAATGGTTGCTCTCATACGAGGGTGGATTGATAAGTTTCCGGCCTGACCAAGAAAAACAAGGTTTTTAAAAATTTTTTTTTTTTATTTCTCAACATAATCTCCTCCAAGGCTGATACATTTCTCATAGCGGTGTTCCAGTCTATTAATGCCATCTCTATAGACTGATTCGTCAAGCTCCTCAAAATAACCATTTACAGCTTCGATTACTTCTTCATTGTCCGCAAATCTCTTACCGCCAAGCCATTTTTTGAGATTAGGGAACAGAAAATAGTCACTCGGGGCTAGGTCTGGAGAGTAAGGAGGGTGCGGCATCAATTCAAACTTTAGATCGTTGATTTTAGCCGTCGCAACGATTGACGTGTGCGCTGGTGCGTTATCGTGATGAAACAAGATTTTTTTCTTCGCCAGATGAGGTCGTTTAATTTTCACCTCGTGGCTCAAACGTTGCAATAAGTCTGCGTAGTATTGACCAGTGATAGTATTACCCTTTGCAAGGTAATCAATGTATATAATACCTCTTGCATCCCAAAAAACAGTAGCCATAACCTTGTTCGCCGAAAAAATTGTTTTTGCCTTCTTTGGAGTTGGTTCCCCTGGTCCAATCCACTGTTTAGACTGTTCTTTGGTTTCAGGAGTGTAGTGGTGGACCCACGTTTCGTCAACGGTTACGAATCGACGCAAAAATTCGCTTGGATTACGCTTATACAATGACAAATTTGCGGTAGAAATGTTTTTTCGAATCAATTTTTGGTCGACTGTTAGCAAACGCGGCACCCATCTTGCACAGAGCTTTTCCATATGCAAATGTTGGTGCAAAATATGTTGCACACGTTCATATGACATCTTACAGGTCTCAGCTATCTCACGCACTTTCAATCTGCGGTCTCCCAGCACTATTTGATGAATTTTTTCGATCATATCTGGAGTTGTGACCTCAACGGGGCGTCCTGAGCGAGGCCCATCAGAGGTGCTCACACGACCCTTTTTAAACTCGGAAACCCACTGCTTAACGGTTGAATATGACGGGGAGGATGTCCCCAGTGTTGAGTCCATCTCTTTTTTAATTTCCTTCGGCGTTAACCCCTTCAAATAAAAGTATTTGATGACAGCACGATTTTCCTGCTTTTCCATTTTTACGAAAACCACAGAGGCGTCTTGTTCAGCGTGCTGTCAAACCTACACTAGCAAGGAGATCGGGCTGAAACTATAGCTACAAGCTATCCAAGGATGGTACTATAGAATGTCACCTCAAGGTAGGCCTAGTGGCGTCATCTCTTGGTTAGGCCGGAAACTTATCAATCCACCCTCGTAATTCGGAAGTGTAATAAAAGGTTAACCAAACGGAAGCGGATGCTAACTAGTACATTATTATTCGTAGACATTAACATAAACGCGAGAGTCTTTGTTCGGTAATTAGCTTAAAGTCCATCGCCAACATTTATACGATGATTAATTACTACCACGTACGTAACATTAGCCGCAGAAATCATCATCAGAGCACAATTATACATATTCTCATTTAATTCTTATTGTTCACCGTATTTATACCTATTATAGTGAAATATATTCTTGTAAATGAGGAACTGCCTTGGTAGTCCATACCATCCATGTACAAATTTACTCTAGTTTGGGTGATTACCTTGAGGCGTTTTCTATTAGGTACAACTGATGCAACTGAAGTTTTTAGACTCGCACGATCTTTGACGAGTATTCATAATTATATCAACATCATTAGGTCGTCAGTCCTAAGACTGGTTGGACAAGCACCTCCACTGTTTCCTATCCTGAGCTAATCTTCGCATTTCGCTAAAATCAGAGCAACCCACATCCTTAACTATTTGCGAACGGTAATCTAATCTGGGTCTACCTCTACCCCTTCTGACTTCCGTTTATGCCTCTAATATGTCTCTGACTAAACCTTCATGCCTGTGAATGTGTCCTACCAACCTAGCCTATTTCTTATTGACTTTCATAGAGGTCTGTTTTCCTATTCTCTCTTCATTCATTTCTTTTTTAGATAAGTGAAATTTACCATATGCAATTAATACTGTACGTTGTATAGCCTGCGTCTGGAAGGGATGCGGACGCATCTATCTCAGCTTCTCAGTGTTAGCTGCATGTGTCAAACGCACCAACGGAAAGATTTGTAGTATGGTTCTCGCGTTTTAACGTATCTATAAAGCTATGAACCTGAAGTCAACCTTGTAGATGGTGACATTAGCGCTACAGATCTGAATGTACGTCTGGACCTGTTCAATCGTCAAAAATGATAAGAATATCTGAAACATGACATTCCGTTTAATACTCTAAGTGGTAAATCACAATATTCTTCTCAATAGGCTCTAATTATTTCCTTCCCCGCATACATCGATTGCTTTCACTACACTTGTGCCACGTTAAAGTGCGAGCACTGTACTTTCTATTACAGCAAAAGGTTGTTCCAGACGTACTGTGCGAGCCGCATGCCTGTGACGTATTATACGAAACACACCTTTACCTAAAACTATTAACTGATGGAACAGTTCAGAAAATTCAAAGGAGCTTGCAAAACTACTATAACTATAGGTACTGATGTCTGAGTAACTACAGAAACAAGGAATACCTATCATCTGCTGCATTAAAACTTTTAGACAATACATTTAATTAAAACTGAAGGATGACCATTACAAAACAAGAAGGCAGTTAATGGTAGCAGTGCCGTTCCAAATATTGTATAAAGTCATTCATGTATTTAATAGCAACTGTGGTGTATCTTTTGTGTATGGTATTAATTCAGCAATTTATTATTTCTTTTTGTATTTCGTAAAGCCATTGGTAGGCGATTAACACCTAAACACCATCTGTTTCGAAAGGTCCACATTAAGGAGCTGATGAAAACAGTAGTTAATTACTCTATTTCTAAACAAATGGACCATTGAAGGTTACCAATCATTAAGGGAAACAGGTACTTGTTATCTTAAAAAAAATAAATGTGAAGCTGTTTGTAGATGTAGGTACATGACAAAGGTATCTCTCAAGTATCTCATTGTACTCCGTCACTCTTAGCCTAAACATTCGTCTCTAGACAGACTAAAAAGTACTTGAACTGATGCTGTTTTGATTCGAGTTTAAAAACCGTAGTGTGTTTGAGTTGCTTCCTAACGTTTCACTACCACTAGTGGTGAATTTCTCTAGAGGCTCTTACATCTCCGATAAAACTTAAAAAAACTTTTGGGTGTTTCATTCCCACCAGCCACTAATGCTGGTGGGCGGACAGTCCCTCCGGACTACGCCGGAAGGTAGGGCGGAAGGCCCTCATAAGCCTCCTTTCAGGAATCGTGGGAATGGGTAGGAGATGGTTCGGATGAGAAAGATGAGACGGACGAAATGAAGACAGAAGAGAATGAAAGATTATCTGTGGAATATTACTGCCCCAGCATTTGCTTAAGTGATCCAAGAAAAGCTTAGACCAAAGCAGGCGGACCCGGAATCAAACCGTCGTCCTCCCAAATGCCAAGCAATAATCTGAACCTCTAGATCATGCCGCTCCCCGCAAAACATTAAGGGGAGCGCCTACTGAAGAAGTGTAGCATTAAAACATATAGCAAACGGGTGAATCTGGCATAAGAGTGATGTGATATAGCTTCTTTTAACGCACACAGGTGTAGCGTAGCAGTAGTAAGCATTACAATGTCATTCGATGAAGGTATATTAAATCCAGTAAATTTACTCAATATGAATGAAAACCATCCAAAAGGAAGAAGCTGAATACATACCTACTGGAAACCCAAACAAACACACAGTGCATACAATGTCATTTCCCAGACCTTTTCCTTCACATTCCCATTTGAACATTCGCTACAGGTCAAAAGGTCATCAGTCCTAAGATTGGTCGGACATCCACTTTTTCCTGTC